GATCAGCAATGTCAGGGCTATGTGATAAAGCTGCTGATGTTTACTAGCAGCCGGCAGCCCTATCACATAGCCATGTAGCATTGATTGTCTAAACAGCCAAATAGTAAACAGCCAGCTAAGAGAGGAAAAGAGGTGTTTTTATCCCACATCGATCTGAACGGGGCCAAATGCTATATGCATTTGGTCCCCTAGCAAATAACATAAAAAAATATATTTTTAATGAGACTTCTTCTCAAATGAGTAGTCCATGAACCCAATGCATGTCGGACCCCTTAGTCCAAAAGCAACTCGTGGGTGCTGCGGTGACCAATGGATGGCGCCGTGACAAACACAGAGTAAATATGGGGCACTGGCATTTCAAATAGTGAATAGTGTGTCTTTTATCGGCGTAAATGCAGCACATAAATACAGTGTTTCGGAGATCAAGCAGGATCCCCTTCTTCAGGCAAGCATGTCTTCCCTGAAGAAGGGGATCCTGCGTGACCCTGAAACATTGAAGCAATGTGATATGCTGCATTTACGTCAATAAAGGTCGCACTATTCACTATTTGGCGTGCCCCATCTTTACTTGTTCTTCTCTAATGAGACACTGACATTGAATCCACTGTAGTTTTATTTCAGATAAGTGCAACTAAAGTGCCGTAGAGAAAGCCAGGGTGTATCTAGCTAGAGGCTGTACTAACTATAGACTTTTGTCAGGAGGAGGGAACAGAGGAACGTACAAAATACAATAAACAAGACAAAGGTTATGCTGCAGCACAAATTAAATTTTAAAAAAAACTTACAGTACTGCTGGTTTTCAACTAGGAAATAACATTTATATTGACAAGAGATCATTGGAGAACTATGAATGTTGAAACTGCTGGATTCTCCCCCTGAAAATGCTAGTTGCCTGACTATCATGCATCAGTGATTGAAAACAAGTCTGCAAACATGGACTTTTCTCTTTCACTGACTTTCCTGATCTACTTTCTTATTGCAACTCAGTGAAGTAAAAAGTACTCGGAGACATGCTCATCTTAGTTGATTCCCAAAACTGTTCACTAACTTTCAAATCCTATATTACAGGGGTGGGCAAACTCCGGTCCTCCAGCTGTTGTAGAACTACAAAACCCATGAGACATTGCAAGATTCTTACAGCCACAGGCATTACTCCTAGAGACAGATGCATAATGGGATTTGTAGTTTCACCACAGCTGGAGTGCCGTAGTTTACCCACCCCTGCTATATTAGCTTCTTACTTACTACGAGATGCTATATTTCTCCTAAATCAGTTCCAGATGGACCACACAGAGAAAATCATTTGACTTTTTACCTTTTCTGTTATATGTCTCTTTAAAAAATAAAATTCCTTTTAATAGCATTCTTTGCTTTCAGTGTAAACAATTTGGAGGTTACAGTAATCAGAAAAGGGGGGAGACAAAAACAGAGACCTGTATATTATTGGAGATTTTGTTATATTATATATTATTGGATATTTTGGTACAGTATTATGGAGTACAAACAAATGCATAAAGCAACTGCTCCTACATTCCTTGATCCAGCGGAATAGCTCAAATAATTTATGATTAATAGAGGCTGCTCCGTCTTTATCTTGAGTGGCAATATTATGAGAATGCAACTGGGGAAGTTTTGGCATGAAAATGATAAAAAGGCTTATCATCAGTTCTGCAGCAGAAAAATATTGACGGTTGCAGTTGCCATACTGATGCAAGGAACTATGAAATATTCCTTATTATATATTAATTTTAAAAAACTGTGGCAACCCCAATCTTTTTATATCTTAACAGTGATGGTCTAAACGTTCGGAGAAGAAAACAAAAGCGCAAAGGCAAATACCAGTGTGGAAAGGGAACATATACTTGTATCATCAATAGACTGATACTGGTCATTAGACATGTACACTGCCAAAAAATTCATTTAGTTTCGTTTCGTTTTAAATCCGTATTTGTGTTATTTCGTTTTTCGGGATTCGGGTGTGAAAGTCAATTCGGATTCGGATTCGGGCGAAATTCGGTAGTGGTAGTTCGTTCGAACGCTCGTTTTCGTTTCGTTCATACGTTCGTTCGTTTGCAGCAAATTGACATTTGAGGGGGGAACATTTTTTATCCTTCTCTAATGTCACTTTGCTCCAACGAACGAAACGAAACGAACGTTCGAACGAACTACTGCTACCGAATTTCGGAAACGGAAATTCGGATTCGTTTGCATTCGTTATATCTGTAATTAGGAATTCGGATACATCCGAATGTCCGAATTTCCGAAAATTCGTCCGAATTTCAATTCGGAACGAAACGAATCGGACATGTCTACTGGTCATAAATGCCTTGAATTTAGGCTGATTACTGCTGCATCAGCTTACATTTGAGATGTGGGTGGCCCTATCAGCATCAACCAGCTCAGTTCCTCAATCTTCAGTTTCAAATTTGAAGGGGCCAGGTGGAAAATTGTCGGTCGCACAGTGACTCCATCCAATAAGATGCAGTCACTCTTCGGGTTTCCAGACAACTGCATGTGCCAGCAGATGGAAATTTAGAATGGATGAGGGGAATCTAGTAATTTCTCTCATTTAGCCCCGCATATGGCTAGCATTAAAGCTGAAATCCAAATATAATTATTTATGTATACTTACATTGCTCCAGCTTGACCTGATGTAAGTATACATATTTTACACCAGGCAAAGCAATGGGGATCCTGTAAAACACTGTAATAACTGAAGCTACTACATTTCTGGCTGCTATCTTCTGGGTACTAGCACTGCTTTATGTATACTTACATGAATCCAGCTTGGCTATTATCAGTATATATATTGTATACCTGTAAAACACCGTAGTAGCTTGAGCTTCTACAGCGCTGGCCATGAATTTACAGGTGCTAGCGCTGCTGCTGTGCTGAGCGACTTCTACTCCTCTGAAAACACTGAAAAACTCTGAAAAAGTTGCTTGCTCGTCACAGCGGCCATTCATTGATTGCCTAGTATTTTTATCAATGAATACAAAGTGTTCTCTGATTGGACGAGGGGCAGATCGTGACATCAACACCCCTTGTCAAGTCAAAGAATGTCTAGTATTCATTGAGATAAATACTAGGCAATCCATAAATGTCTGCTGTCCCAAGCAAGTGACCCCGTGTTTTCACAGCAAAGGAGAAGTCGCATAGCAGAGCGGCAGTGTCAGGTCCCCGATGATTCCAGCCAGCACTACAGTAGCTGAAGCTACTACAATGTTATAAAGGATCCCCATGGCCCTATTCAGATATACAATATGTAGTTGGATCAATGTAAGTATACATAACATTGTATAACTGTAGATCAGCTTTAAACAACAGATTGATTGTAAACAGAGACTTCAGATTTTGATAACTGCTGAAGCGTTAAACCGCTTTTTCTATTTTCTTTTGACTTCCCCCAGAATCTATTTTCTCTCCTCATCTCCAACCTCAGTTCTTGGTCCAGCAGCATCTTTTGGATGTCACTGCAGTAAAGTGTAAGTGCTGCTGGATGGCTGATGCCTACAGCTTCTGTAGTCCAGAGAATCAAGGGGGGTGGAGACATGACTGTCTGGGTGCTGAATTTGGCTTGAGTGAGTCTGGGTGCCATTCAACGTAGAAATAGGTCTGCACATGCTGGACTCAGTAGACAGCACTAGGAAGATGGTGAACATGCAGCAAAAGCTGGAGTTGTCTGCACACCTGCTCCAGACATTTATTTTCTATCACAGGAAATGTAGCCTGGACAGGTACAGAGAGGGGAACTTATCAAAACTGGAGTAGCCAAAATCTGGAGAAGCTGTCCATGGCAGCCAGTCAGCTTCTCTGTTTCATTTTCAAATCTTGACTGAACAAACTGAACGTAGAAGCTGATTGGTTGTCATGGGCAACTGCTCCAGATTCTATCTGCACCAGTTTTGATAAATTCCCCCGTGTGTGCAGTTTATTATGATAGATTGTGCTCTAGGAGTATGCAAAATGTATAAGGAGCCAGGGTCTGACTCTTCACATTCCTCCTATATGGAACATATCACTTTTGGGCAGACTGATCCTTTAATAATAGAATGTTCATGCACATCAATGACTTTTATGATGTTAAAAAAGTAAAAATCAGCAAAATACAAAAACATTATGACGAAAAAATTTTTATGGAAACTAGAAAGATGTCCCAGCACTAAAGCAATGATTATATCCATTTAAGGTGACGGAGCACTGGGAATAGTGGAGATGAGCTCGGATACACTGCAACATTGCGGAGCTGTCTGGGGAGATGACAGCCTGACTGGTAAACAAGTCGCACACGTTGTAGACGAGGAGTGATCGCCCTGTATATCCTCATGCACTACACACTGCTTCTCCCCAGCTGTGACTTCACATCATCTGGACGGCATTGGCTGCAGGGCACAGCGGGTATCGGGCAGGTGCCCAGCGGTGTTGTTGTGATTTAGTAATGCCGCAGAATGGGTCGCCGCCTGCTGCAGCGTGCACACTGGCTGATGATACTGCGCAGTAAAGCCGAGCACGCCGCGCCGCATCCATTTGGCATATTTTATTTGACGTTTCCTTCCTAGACTGACACCACGTCCCTCCTGCCACCACCGCTACCCAGACTGTTGTTTACTTCTCTTCACAACCAGGCGAGAGTCCCCGCCCACGGGGGAGGTAGGACAAGGAGACATAGGGATGAGCCAATCAACATGTGCCAAACCGTAACAGTACTCGAACTTGACCAGTAATCTCGCCCTAGGTGCCTATGACCACGCCCCTTACTACGGAACACGCCTTTTTAGCAGAGTATGGGTGCCTCCCCCGCAGCAACCAATCAGCGGCCTGTTTACATCCTAAAGCGTGAGTAAAAATGGGCAGGGCGGATAGTGGAAGCTCGGTTACTCCACCCATTCTGCGGGATGTTTGCGCTGAACTGCGTCGCGATTGGTCGAGCACCCTGTCATTGATGATTAGGGCCGCGCCTCCGTGGTAGGCGGCTAGTGTCTAGGTGACGCAGGCGGGCGGGGTCACGTGTTGTTTTCGCCGCGCCGCTTTCCCTACCCCCGCTCTAGTCTGTCTGTGGTGAATGTGTACGGCGAAGAGAGGAGCCGTTGTGCTGTCCGCACCGGGGAGACGAAGATTCCCGGCGCTTAGCCAGACGCCATGCGTATCCTCTGAGGTCCCCCCTTTGAGGCTGTAGACCGCGGTGAGAATTTAATTCATCGGCCGAGGGAGGGAAGGACGCCGGCTGCTGCGGCTCTGCCCGGGAAGCACAGCAGAGAGGCCAGCCCTCGGGGCTCCCCATCTCCCTCCATGGCGGGCGTCCTCCATGCTGAAGAGGACAGAGCCGGCAGGTCAGTCATGAAGCCCTTGCCTCCGTCTCCCCCCCAGCAGTGCTTGGAGGAGAGCGGCTACCGGCGTCTGCCCCAGGTACAGGAGGAGTGTGTGTCTGGAGCAGCTCAGCCCGGCGAGGAGGACGTGATGAAGCGTGGCTACCTGAGGAAGCAGAAGCACGGCCACAAACGCTACTTCGTGCTGCGGGCTCACAGCCACCTGGGGCCCGCCCGGCTAGAGTACTACGACAACGAGAAGAAATTCCGGAGCGTGCTGCAGAGACCCGGCCCCCCCAAGAGGGTCATCTTCCTGTCCCAATGCTTCACGGTCAGCCGCCGGGCTGATGCCAAGAACAAGCACCTGCTGGCCCTGTACACCAAGGACGAGTACTTTGCCATGGTGGCAGACAGTGAGCAGGAGCAGGACTCCTGGTACCAGGCCCTCAGCGAGCTCATCAATGAGAACAAGAAGTCCTGCCTGGCAGATGCTGAGGACGACGAGCTGGAGGAGAGCTATGGAGGCTTCCGAGCCGGTACCGTCTTCAAGGAGGTCTGGCAGGTGAACGTCAAACCTCGGGGGCTGGGCCAGACTAAGAACCTGTCTGGGGTGTACCGGCTGTGCCTGTCCAACAAGGCCGTGCACCTGGTCAAGCTCAACTCGGACGTGGCCTGCGTCCACCTGATGCTCATGAACATCCGAAGGTGCGGCCACTCGGAGAACTACTTCTTCATCGAGGTGGGCCGGTCGTCCTCCACCGGGGCCGGCGAACTGTGGATGCAGGTGGACGACTGCGTGGTAGCCCAGAATATGCACGAGACTTTTCTGGAGACGATGAAAGCCTTAAAGGCGTACTCTGAGTTCAGGCCAAGGAGCAAGAGCCAGTCCTCGGGCACCAACCCTATTTCTTTTATCACCACCAGACGGTACTTGGGCAACCTGCCCCCCAGCCAGACGGGCCTGCAGAGAAGGTCAAGGACTGAAAGCATTGCAGGTACTCCTATATCCAAGAGCAACTCTTACCGCTTTAGAACCTCCAGCGAGGGCGAAGGTACGATGACTAGGCCATTCAGGTCGGTGACTGGCAGCTTGATCCATTTAAACACTGCACGGATAAACCTGAATAAACAGGAAGGTACGGGGAGATACGTCAGGGCACCCTTTAATTCTGGTTACCACTCAAGATCAGCCTCTCTACCAGTTTCCCATTTTCCTTCAGCTACAAGCCCAATCAATGTGTGTTCAAGTAGTGGCCCTGGGTCTGATACTCTGACCAGACCCTCCAGTTCTTCTGTGTGTGGATCTCCTAGTGACGGTGGCTTTATTTCATCTGATGAGTATGGTTCAAGTCCTGGTGACCTCAGGTACTTTCGCGTGCGGAGTAATACTCCAGACTCGCTTGGTAACACCCCACCGATTCAAGAAGAAAACACCCTAAGCGATTACATGTCAATGAGCATGAAAAGCCACCCAGGTGGTCAGGATGATTATGTTGAAGCTGACAAAAGTTTTAGAAAAAGAACATACTCCCTGACTAAGCCCACCAACGTCACATTACAACAAAAGTCCCATGCTGCTGTTTCATTAGATGAAGATTCTGAAGAGAAGCAGTTTGCCTACTCTGAATCACCAAAGTTAAAAGACAGCAATCGCTCAGAGGATTACAGTAATGGCCTCATTGATTCTGTTTGTAACCAAAGTGGGAGTAAAGCCAAGGATGATGGCTACATGCCAATGATGCCTTCAGTTTCATATGACAGTGACTATTTGCCAATGGCACCTAAAAGTGTTTCTGCACCAAAACAAATCATTTCAAGGTGCCCTTCTCAGGTGGATTCAAAAGGGTATATGATGATGTCTCCAGTTGCCAGTTCACCTGTCAGAAATACATTAACAGCAAATGCCTCTAAAGGTAGTCAAGAGAAAGTCACCAATGGTGAGTACATGGACATGTCTTATGGAAGCTCTTTAAAAAAAACTAGTGACTCTAATTTAAATAACTCCCGGGGGTTCAGTTCTTATTTTTCTCTACCCAGAAGCTTTAAAAGTTCATCAAAACATTGCAATGATCACAATGAGTATGTTCCTATGTCTTCTCCAGGAACATTACTGCACATGGGTGAAGAAAATATTAGTGACGTTTGTAAGAATGGCGTTGTCAATGGCATGTCAAAGACTGATTTGAAATCTTCCAGTGAGATATTAGATCATCAAGTTAGGGCTGCAAGGCCAACTAAACTTACCCTTGCCATGAGAGGGAGCAATACAATACCAAGGATGTTTGATCACTCTACTTCAGCTGAACCAACAAGTCCTGGTGAATATATAAATATTGATTTCAGTGATAAAGCAAGTAGTACTCCATATTCTCTTTCTGCAGATGGCTCCCCATCTTCTTTGGGCTCAAGTTGTGATCAGAGACAGTCACCCTTGTCTGATTACATGAGTGTAGACATTGATGTGCAGTCTCCGAAAGCCACAGCTGAATTTTCTAACTCTTTAACAGACGTTTCACCTTATGCATGCCCTAGTATTTCCAGAGTTCAGCCCAGTGCAGAATATGCCAAGCTAACATGCGGTACAGCTTGTGTCACTACCACAAATAATAGGAATGATGATTACACCACCATGACATTTAATATGCCAATGACTCCCCCAAGGCCTTTTCCTAATGAAACTGAAAATGGTACAAAGTTGGATAGCCCATCTATTGTAAATCGCCTGTGCATTGGGGATATGTCCTCTTTTAAAAGTGGTTTTCCCCTTGTCCTCAACCCTAAGACTGAAACTGTAGTTGGCCCTAAAGTTATCCGTGCTGATCCACAGGGAAGACGGAGACACAGCTCTGAAACTTTCTCCTCTACCAGCACAGTGACAACAACTTCCTCTTGCTTTACTGAAAGTGGCAAAAGGCATAGTTCTGCCTCATTTGACAACGTTTGGCTGAAACCTGATGAAAACAGTTGTGATCACGAGAAAAAAATGTCTAGAAACTGCTCTACAGGTTTTCAGCACGGTCTAAATTACATAGCTTTGAGTATGCACGATGGTGTCTGTGAGCCTGCATCGCCAGTTTGCAGTCAGCACCAGAATGGAAGCAGAAATTTGGAAACCGGAGCTTATGTCAGCATCGATTTCTCCAGGTCTGACTGCCTGAAGTGTTCTGCCTTCAGAAAAGGTTTGTAAGTGCTAATTGTGTCCCCAAAACATGTCAATACATGTTGTTAATGTTATTTTTACCATGTTGTACCTGATGCTGCGATGTCCTGTTTTAACAAAGGTTTGTAAACGAATGACTTAACATTGGTTTTATTAACTCCACAACTTCATGCTGTGTATAGCAACTTCTGTTACTGGTGAGGTGGCATGCCTAGCCTTTCTGCATGTTGGCTTCTTGTGCAGCTAACCAAATAGTACAGCTGGTGCGTGGGCATATTGTTTAAATAAGACTACATAACTTGCTTGTAAAGTAACCAGTTGTTGGGCAAATTACAAGGTTGCAAATGCATGCACAGCAGCTGGATCAGTTTTGTTGTGTAACTTGCCTCTGTTTTTGTTTAAGCTTTTTTATGAAGGCCACCTGTATTTGATGTGTGTGTGTGTGTGTGTGTGTGTGTGTGTGTGTGTGTGTGTGTGTGTGTGTTTGACTTTTTTACCTTGGTCAGTTTTAGACTATATTCAACAGGGCTGCAGCTAATGATTGTTTTCATAATCGATTAGTTGGCTGATTTTTTTCCGATTAAACGGTTTAAAAAAAACATATTATTTAAAGTGGAATACACAAATGGAGTGTTACACGCAAAGTTTATTTCAGAGAAACTGCATGCACATTTTCTGGGGGATTGATAGAACATCGGACGAAGGAGGGCACAGAGGAGGAGGCGCGGGGCAGCAGTGGAGGTATGGGAGGGGGCAGCGGGGGAAAAGCAGTCTCTCCTCCCCGCTGATGCCGGCTGCAGTGGTCTGTGTCCCCTCTGCCGATACAGGTGGGGATTGAAAGAGACACAGACCGCTGCAGCCGGCACCAGCAGGGAGAACGGAGGAGCAGAACAGCGGTGGGGGATTCAACTAATCGAAAATGAGAATCATTGACAACGATTCTCATTATCAATTATAATCCATTTTATCGATCAGTTGTTTCAGCCCTAATGGTTATGCTAACATGACCATATTCCTGATAAACCAAGTTTTCCTTTTCTGTAAAAATAGCCATTGAAAAAAATTAATTCTTTTAAATAAAAAAAAAAGCAGCTAAGTCACAAGCATGTGCATGATTTTACATATTCGCAGGAAGAAAATTGGGGGGGAAAATTGCAGTGTGTTTTAAAGCGGAGCTCCCAGAAAGAGAAACTTCTCTAAATTCTTAAGGCAAAAAGATTTACCTCTTGTAATTGGTGTAAAATGTTTACTAATCCATTCATTGGTTTTCTGGATTGTACTGTTGGTGCAGAACTGTGAGAGTGAAGCGATCCTGTAGCTTACCCTCCCTTTGCTCCCCCTTGTCCATTCACAGAACACTCAGAATACAAGGTGTTCTGTGAGCAGACAAGGCGAGAGGAAAGGGATGGTAAACAGGATTAGCTTTTAGTGTGCATAGTTTTATGTATAGTCTGTAATCGTGCATGGGGACGGCAGTATTTGGTCATTAGATAGACTGCTGGTTGCACCTTGCCAATTAGGACCCTGTCACACCATGTCCGAACCAGATCTGTACATGTTTCTGCAAACGCGGTGCGTTTGTGATGCGTTCCAGTGTGGATTTTTTAAGGGGTAATGTCATTATGCAAATCTCTTCCTGCTCCATGTCATAGCTTCTGTTGTGTTCCGGTGCGTTGCGTTTGCGTTCCAGTGCAGGAAAAATGTGACATGCAGCATTTTTTTTTTTCCTGCACTGGAACCGACTGGACCGGTGTGAACAGAGCCCAAAAATCACATACAAATGCATTGGGATGCATTTTTGGTGTGGAAGAAAAATGTAACGTACCGCATGTGATCTGGACATGGTGTGAATGGGCCCTTAGAGAGATGCTTTCTTAAAATAATTGTGATTTAGTAATCTTGATGCATGCCACACCAATTTTAGTGGCTGGTTCAGTTTACCAGGATTAAAAATATACACTTTTATTTTACAGTATTGTCAACATAGGTTGTCAACAATTATTTTATTTTTTTTAAAGAGAACCAGTTATGTTCTAATTGTATAGACTCGCTCTAAAAATTAAGTTGCGCTTCAATTTTAAGCAAACCACTTCCAGGCTTATACCTGTCCCATATTCACAGAGATAGTATATGCAGCCTTGGTGCTGCGTAGTTGCTACTCAATGTTTGCTGTTGGGCCGTCTGCTCCGTACCATTCACTTAACTCATTGCGCCGAGCCTCGTTTTGTTACATTGGAGGAGAGGATGGTGGAGACATGACTGCAGGGTCAGGGTCCTGCATCACTTTACATTTGGAGCTCATTTAAAAAGCAGCTGCCATATTACTGCTGTTAAAAAGAAAAAGCACATTTATAAAGCTCAGCATATGCTTTAGGAATGTGCTCTATGCTCTGCTTGCTTTGGGACTTTGAAGTTGGCAGTGCACAATAAAACTGAACTGACCCTTTTTAGGAGAGCTCAGTCATATGGCCTGTTAGTCAGACAAGGCTCTCTTTCCATCAAAGAACTCTGTAGGCTCTACACTGCAGCTATATCTTTATGAATGGGTTGTGCAGCAGTGCTTAATGGAGAGTGGATAGCTATATCTGTGCTCCATTTATAAGTGTATGTATGTATAACTTTTTTTTTTTTTTCATTCAAACTGCAGGCTGAACTAAACAAATAAAACAGATTTCCTATATGCACACTGAACAGAGTGGATGGGCAAACCTGTTGCTGGCTAATATGGGTATTCTGACAGGAGCGAGTGTGCCGCTGTCAGAATACCCAAACAGTGATGGCAGCCATTGTCACTGTTCATCCAATTTTTTTATTTTTTTTACAGTTTTTTCTGATTTAAGGTTGCTGGCAGGGCCACCCACTAAGCAAATGGCCAGTTCATCAAGAACAGCGGGCTTTTAGTCTGACATTTTAGCTGTGACGGTTATTGCTTCTCAACTGCCTGACCAAACACACTGAATGCTCAGAAAATGGAAGATTGTGTGTGGTCAGACAATTAGAAGGTCTGCAACTCTGTCTAATGTGACCTCTGATCCTCTGTTTTCAAGCTGAGCTCCAGGGAATCTGTTAAATACACAAGGGAAAGACTCATGTGTGTAACTTACAGTTGATGATAATATTTTCTCTGACCTTTAGCCTTCCAACTGCACTGTGAAAAGGTGGCAGCAGAAGACGAAGAGCTATCCCTCTACTCAGTCTTTCCACCTATCGGCGTGTTCCTTCCCAACCTTTTTGCATGCAGTAAATCCAGCTGCCTTATTTCTAAACTTGTTCAGGGTTTGTATCTTAAAGTTTAAAGAACAACTCCAAGCATTTACATTTTTTTTAACCCTTGCAGTGGGGTTACCCCTTTATTGCAAGGGTTAAGTGCTCGTTTTGGTCTAGGGTCTAAAATTTAAAAAAGGTATTCTCACTCCATCTTCAGTCCCAAGGGCTGCTAGACTGGTCCCCGCAGCCACTTCTCCCCTACGGGGACCAGTCTAAAATTAGTTTGCAAACAAAATTCCCCAAAACAGTAAGCAAAGGGAAATTTCTGTAGCAGAATCCTGAATAATAGAAGTAAAACCTGACGGGTTCTAACCATTCCAAGACGTTTGCTTTAGATACATATGAGACATCTCTGAGGCGACACTACTTGATTGTGCATCTTCCGATCTTAAAGCGGTAGTAAAGCAGATAACTTTTTGGGCCCCCAGGAGGTGTTTGTCATAATGTGCTAGTATGTACAGTATATCAGCACATTATGACCAACCTACTTTTTCAGGTGACGCCCTCTAGCGCTGCAATGCCAGCAATCTCCTCCACTGCATGTGCTGCCACTTTTACGGTCTTCTAGCCTGGGCCTCTTGATTGGCCAGGGTGATGTAACATATAGACATGAGTGTTACTTCATTTCGGTGCAGGACCTTGCTGAGCTTATGCACTGAGCTACACATGCTCGGCTCAGTGCACACAAATGCTGACAGGCCGGGTGGCAGCATTAGGAAATAAGAAATCATGTTTCTTCTGTCATAAGAACCTGGCGTGTCAGTGTTTTGTTTATTTTTAAGCTTTACTTGCACTTTAAAAGGGCTATCTTTTTAAATTAAAAGCAGAACTGTTATATATAAACATTGACAAGAATACTACTACATTGACCATAACTCATCTGCTTTCCACACACCTGTGCTTTGCTTCTCCTTTCAGGGGCCATCTTTCCTTTGGGCCAGCTTCTTCCTCAATCTCTGAACCCGCTTCTAATAACGCATGCCTCATCCTCCCACATGTGCTAAAATAGCAGAGATCCCGGAGAATTGGGATGAATAGGCATTTAGGACTATTTGTGTAATTTTATCCAAATGTTGACAAGTGACAATCCTGTCACCCTGAGTTTTAGAATTACTGGTCCTGGCATCTTCAGTGAATGGTAAAACTGTATGTTTTACCTGATGAAGGGGATCCTTTGTGACCCCGAAACGTTTGTTGTTTTTTTACCACCATGCACGCCAATAAATAGACGTATTTTGCAAATTTGGAGTGCCGGTGTCTCTGCTTTAGCTCACGATTGTTACGGCTGCCACCCGTTGACTACCGCAGCACCCAATTCTTGAAGGGATTCACGCGGTTAGCAGTGCGATGGGACCATGGACTATCTGGAGCACATATCTGTCACCTACCTCCCACAAAGCAATCATTTACACATTTGGGGTTTGCCTGTGAGGGTACAGTGTATGATCGGGAAGATTTTACGAATACCTGTAGTGGGAGAAGCAAGGCAGTGTCTCTGTTGCTGCTTGATTCTCTGAAGCTAGGCTGTATGGCTTTGAGCACACAGAAGAACTAAGATCTTTTGGGACTTTAATTTCAGGTAAGAATTACTTATAAACAATTTGGTTGTAAGTAATTCTTGGAGAGCAGGTAAGTGATGGATAGTGCATTGTAAATACACATATCCTTTAATGTATATTGGGCTATAGAAAATGCTCCTGTTCCACATAGAAAATGAGATTATTGGGGCAGTCTACCCACAAGTAATATATA